CGGCCGCTCCGCACAGCCGCTCCCGGCCCCGGATCAAGTTTGGCGCCTATGCACTTCCTCTCGCCGAGGGCGGGGGTGGGTGTTTACTCCGAAAAAAGGCGGTGGTGGTGGCATTCGGAATTACATAATAAACAGATTTCGGTGGACAGATTTATTACGCTGCCATGTTAACGAGAGAAGGAGCTTTTCTAGACGTGATATTAACGCTTCACATTCTGTACACAATCCACAAGTACATTTGATAAATTAAAGTAGTAAAAGATCTGAAGACTATAATCTATCATTTTAATGCTTCACTGATAACATACAGAATCAATTTCAATGACTATCTCTTTTAGAAAAAAAAAATCACAACAAAACTCTGTACCCTGTTTCACTCCTATTAGAATCCAGTGCACCATCAAGTATCATACATTAGCCAACATCAAGCACAACATCTTAGTTTACTGATCTAATTCCGAGTTCAGACTAACGTTACCTTTTAACCCACAGTGTTTCCAGGGCCCGCCTGAAGCGTAAACAGCACAAGCAACTACAAGGGGACCTGCACAGGCTCAGCAATTCACAGACTGGCTTGACCTGCCTCTTGGCAGATTAAGGGTCTCACAAATCAAGCCTATGGGAGGATTTTTAAAAAGTTGATCTTGCATGCTAATAGTAAAGCGCATCTCCAAAACAACACCGTTTAAAGTATTAACTCTGACTTGCCCAATCCCTTTGTCCACATGTGATAATATTTTAGTGTACCTTTTTTACGTTTCAACTGATGCTTTTAGCCACAAGGTTCTGGATTTGACACTAAGACCGCAGTTAGCTGTTACTAATCCACCTAGAGCTGAAGATGTCTGTTGCACAACTCGTATCAGAAATTCCACATATCAACAAGGTATCCAGATTTGACTCTGTGAAAATATCTGTAAGGTACAGATAAAATATATCACACTACCACAGACAAAAAAAAAAAAAAAAATCATTCTTACCTGCCATTTAGCTCACGTTGACTTAGCAAAAATTGTGGGGTTTAATATATTATCTTTTTACAAATTCTCACATAAGTCAGAATGGTGTCAGGGCAGTAATACCACACAGGCTGATTTATTATACCAGCAAAAGATCCAAGCCTTCATTTTGCGGTAACACAATATTAATTAACAATACAATACTAAATATATGAGAAAAAGAAATCATTAGCTAAAACATAATACAAAAACATTTGGAAGCAGAATACCGTGAAGACTTGCAATATTACACATAAATTTCCCTTGATTTTCCTAGGAAACTGCACAAAATGTACAGTGAGCATTAAAAGGTTAATGCATGCATGAACTGAGTAATAGTTTTCTACTTTCAAAGTTCAGCTTGATTTTTCTGAGAAAGCGCAAAACATTGCCAAACTCCCTGAAAGAACACAAACCTATAGCTATACAGAGTGCTGCTAGTATGCTTAAGAAAAGAGCAACAGGCAGTATTTGGCTGCTTGTGCCCCATATATTAATTACCATCTATGTCATTTCCTAGCATTACAATTCTATAAAAAGTGGCTAAGAAGAACATTTCTATAGAATTATGATCAAATACAGTTTTTAATGTTTAATACACACAAGGCAACAATCTGACTACATTCACTGAAACCACAAAACGTGTAGAGCAAAATCTTCTTTCAGAGGCCAGGTCTGTAAACTGCAGTTACACACCACTCTTGATTTCAAGTGCAGGTTTCTCCTGATTAGGGAGAGGGAAGTTGAAAGTTCATCATTAACCAAAAAACCCGAAACATGCATCTCAAACCCAGTCCAAATATCTATCCCCTTCCACAGTTTTCTGCACAGACAGATACGTATGTATTACTAAAGTAACAAAACTAACTAGAAAGCACAGCAATTTTATTTAAAAAAAAAAATCTAGAAAAGGAATGTAGTTATAAAATACATCATATTTTGTACACTGTGGTTTAATATTTCATACAGAATCCCAGAAAAAGTGCTTTAATTGAACCTTCAATATATTTGGCCATAATCTTTATGTTAACAGGACTGCTACAAAGGTTCCAGGAAAGAAATACTTATGAAACAGAGAACAAGGGAACATATAAGCCATTACAGAAGATTGGATTAAAATGTACTTACCCAGGCCTCTCAAATATCATACATCTCCATTATGTAGGCTTTAGGCACCAAGCCAATGGTTCCCTTCATTTCTCCTACCCACCAGCCAAATCTATTGTACTCCTAATTGAAAACAATATGCAATATTAACCTTTAGTCTGATATAAATGCAATAGAGTTTTGTATGCAACTCCTTATGGATGCTTTCTCTTATATACAGTTATAATCATTTCAACTGAAAATTAAAACGTTATATCTTTTTGTTAGAGACATTCACATGCAGAGCTAGGCAAAGACAGAAGTTAAATTTTAAAAAGGCCAGGCATACTCGGGAAAATTTCTTAATTATGGTCACGCTTCTCTATAACACCTACTAAAAATAGCCAACCTCTCCATCCTCTATTCATCACAAATACAAAAACCTTATCTTTGTAACTAAAATCTAATAGCACAACATTGACATATAAGAATCAACTGGGATTCTCCCAGTATCACAAGGCTAAACTCTAAGAAACTTACAACCAACTCATTTTAAAAACTACTTCGCTCAAATATGAAGGGAACACTATATACCTTATACATAATCTCTTTCTACGGACAAAGTCTACTATTGCTTTAGGTTTGCAGAAAATTCTACGGCAGATCTCATATGTCTGACAGATGACTAATGTACTTTTGTTTGAAATTTGTTTAGGCTTAGTGAGATAAATATGAAACAAAATGAATTATAATAGTTTAAAGAAATAATATCTTCCAAAAGCAATACCAAGTAAGAGTATTGTGGGATCCAAATTTAATTTTTTTCCTATGAGGTAAATATTTTAAGATCAATCCTAACAGCGGTTCAATAAATTGTAACAGCTGAAATTGCACACACACATATATTGAGTTACAAATGAAGCATTATTAAAACAGAGACCCCATTTAAAAATTGAATGATTAGTAGGATAGAAATTACTTTGGAACAAACATGGAAAATACAAAATACACAGATATCTCTGATAAGCAACATCTGCTTCCTGCTATGTTGCTCTTCTGATGAGAAAAGCAAAAGGCTGTAGGATTTTGAATTAATGGCCCTTCCGAGATGAAGCTATTATTTTGACTGTAGATAAAGTTTTTCGGTTAATAACAGTCAAGTGGAGCTTAAGGGTTAATGGAGTTTCATTAGAGCCCGAGCTATAATGATTTGCTGCTGGCGTATTTGGCCTGGTCGAGAGTTCTCTGGGGTCCTATGAGGTGCTTAGTGTACTCGGTTCTCCCTGTGCTTAACTACGATGAAGTCCTGCTGATGGCCACTTTCATGTGGGCCCAGGCTTTTTTTTTTTTCTTTATTTCTTCTTTTTTTTTTCTCTCCTTTAAACATGCTTGCATGCAGGCATGCATACACACACTTTTATATTTTCTTATTGTGGAAGGCTAAACACCAGTCAAACATTTTCTTCCTTCTCTTCCCAGTGAATTGGTGATTTAAAAGATTCCTACTATCCATAAAATACTGCAGTAAGTGTGATTTAAAGAAAATCCACATAAAAAGCAGCAGGAAAACCTTCATTTATGATGTGAACACACAAACGAGAAAGCTGCAAAAATAATTCCACCTTATTCCCCTTTCCGCTGCAGAACAGACTGCAGGGGATGGGTCTGGTCTGAAACTCCAGAGGTATCTGAACCTGATCTTCAGTGCAAACTGCTCGCCACAGAAGTTAAGAACTGCTCATAAACTTTCCCATGGGGGTACACATTACACCTTAAATCCTTAAAGGCTAAATAATACCCTGACACTGAGGTTTATAATGTTCCAGATCAACCTGTTTAAAAATTTATGTTTTATCTCACAATACACTGGTTAAATATACAAACTGGATTTCTAGACTGAAGTGGGAAATTGCTGAAAGGAGTGGTACTCATGTATACCACCAGAATCTCAGCAATAAATCTCTCCAGGAGAAAGCAACAAAAGATTTTAAGCTGTTACATGGAACTCGTGAAGTGACTGACAGGAGTGATTAAGCAAATTTTGCCAGACATCAGCCAAAAAAACAAACAATACATGAAATGAGGGAAGTGGCTTAGTTAAGCAGTCATTAAATTGCATATGACAAATGGCATAGAAAAAGCCTGTGGACTACACGTCCATTGAAAACGTTCTACTTCGCAACAATACAAGAACTTAGAAACAATTGTTTTTAAAGAAACAATTCAGATACCTCAAATTAAAATTAAAAGCATGCTGCTATTTTGAAAACTTTCCGGGTTTTGCTGCTTACTAATACACCACTTACTGCTCTGGCATGAAGCTAAGTGAGAAGATGAAATGAATGTTGATGTAACAGACTAGTAAACTAATTTAAGGATTCACTGCAACCATTATACCATACAGACAATATTGCAACACAGAAGCTTTTACTTTACATTACTATTCTTTGCATGGGTCTCAAGAGCAACATGAATCCCAATTAAACTATCTGCAGTCTACAGAAGTCTGAACAAAAATATAATGCAGATATCTGGCTACCAAGAATATAAAACTTTAATCTCAGGTTTTAGAATAATTAGATAGCACTCCCTTTTAAACTGATTAAAGTACAGACATTTCTCTTTAAACTCCTAACCATTCCTTTCCGTTCTCAGTACCACAAAGGAATGCTTACTAGTCAGGCAGATAAGCAGCCCCCCCCCCCAGTCCTTTCTTGAAGTCACACATAAAATCCAAATTGATGTATTGTTTCTATCAACATTATCAATTATAAACTCCTTCATAGCAATATAATTTAATTAATACACTGCTGTTGTGAGGTCCATATGTCTATTGCTGCTGCTTAAGACATGTAGAATAAAAGTCTAAAGTCCACATTTGTGGGAAATAATGATTAATACACAGAAGGATATGAATACAGTTAGGAGTTTTATATGAATTTTTAAGAGTTGGGAAGCACGGCGCTTTTGCAAGCATCAGCTTCAGATCTCAGGTACCACTGGGTTTACCATCTGGTATCCCTCACTGCATTCAGGTCTTAACATCACTGCTAACATAGGCAAGCGACTATACTTCAGAAGGACTGATAAAATAATGAAGAGTCCTTTAATCTACAGGAAACCATTGTAGTCAATTTATAAGAAATATTGCATCCCTTTGTAGGATGTGTAATTATTTTCTATTAATCATGTGCTATAAAGCTACATTATGTGGTTATTCTGTTATCACTAGAAAGAGGCCTGCAGTCAGCTCCTGACAATGTTAGGTAATTACTAACACAAAGCCTCTTTCTCCTTATGTAGAAACGCTATCAAGATCCAGAGGTGCTGTGATGCTCGCTGTATGAAAATAACTCTCCAAAGAAATTCAATAACTGCAAAATGAATTGCTCCAAGGCAAATAGTGGGACAGGAGAGGGGGGCAGGGCCAGATCCAGCCGCCCTGCAAGGAGGAGAGTGCACAAGCGTGCAGCCAGGGCTCTGCCATGTGCCGGGAAGCACATTTGCCACACCAGGCCATGCCAGGCAGCGGCTGGGGGAGAAAGGGGCCACCACAACCCCTGGAAGGCAAGCACCAGGGCAGCAGAATATATTATGCCAAATAACACGAAAAAACCACCTTCACAAAGGACCAAATGCTTTCTAAGCTACTTCTACGTTTCCACTGTCTGTCACAGCACGGAATTTTTTTTTTTTTTTTTTTTTTTGGCCCCCAGCAGAAATTTATTAACCAAAGTGAAGTAATTTCACAGGGCAGCAAGGAACAGGCTATGACTTAACATTTAACATGCTGGCAAAACACTCTCTGTACAGCATGCTATGATAGCAGGGGGGAGAGGAAATCCCAGAGTTTACAAGCTCCTTAAATGTTCTCAGCTGAACACACTGAACAGATGCTTCTCCTTGTCCCCATCCCACCAATTTCACTGCACTGATGTGTACGTACCTATGACTCCAGGAGACATTGATCATAGAAGTTTTTACACTTGGGAAAAAAACAGTAGGTAGAAATATACTACCTGTTTTTTACAGGTATCTTTTAAATCCAAGATTTTTGTACTAGGTAGAAGACAATTACGATGTGGAAAAAGAGAAAATTTTTATACGACAGGATTTCTAAAACAGTCTCTACCTTTAGAGCAGATCCTCTGCATAAATGAGGATCTCCAGATGCTTTGCACCATATTAACTTCTACTGACTTCAGCAAAAGTTGAGAACATCTGGTCCTTGTGCAATTAGTCCCCTATTGTTCAATACATATGGTATGTTTTTTGTGTTTGTAGGGTTGGGGTTTTTTATTTGTTTTATGTTTTAAAAAGAGTTGCTGAAAATCATCATTGTGTTTCAATGCCTTGAACAAAACAATGGAGTTTTATTTTAAAAAAAACACAACTGAATTGTGTAAATTCAAGATTTTTTTCTCCTGCTCTCTTCCAGTGGCACTATGAGTAATATGAACTCAGGGGCTCAAGATCTGCAAACTTTAAAACTGAAAAGCAAAACATTTCTATCACCTTGTTTGGGGTTAAAATAAGTAGCCTCTCCTATCTAAGCTAAAGATGTGTGGGAAGCAGTGAGAAATTTTTTTCAAATAATATCCATGGGGGTGCAATTTTGGCAAGGTAATATTTTAAAACATCTCTAAGTCATCCAAGAGATTTAGACTAGCTAAAAAGTTTCTAGAACTTCCTTTGGTGTAATTGCTGAATGATACACTATCAACAAGGGAGCATTTTTGGCACAGAACAGCATTTTCTCTAAAAAGCAGAAAATGACAAATGTTTTCGATAACTGAATGAGACTTCTTCACAGGTAGTAGAGTTGTTTTAAGACACCAATAAAATGGTCATCTTTAAGAATATAAGCCTCAGATTTATTGTATGGTTGCATTATTAGGTTTTATTTCCTGCAATGACATGAGATAAAATAGACATTAATTAAAGAGTTCCAATATAAATCAGGGTAAGCAGACTGAATTCTGAACCAAAACTGGCCCCTGAAAACACCATGGAATCATAGAAGGGCCATTTTATTTTCCATTAGATGACACAATGCCAAATTTTCTTCTAATCAGGTAGGTAAATGCTTACATATTATCAGTATGCAAATCAAAAAAGCTAGAGTTATTTTGCATTAGTCTATCTTAACTACCCTTTCATTTAAAGGCCTTCATCCTTACCTTACGTTTAAACATGTTTGGTTTTTTTTCCCTGTAAAGAATACACATAAACAAGCCAGAAGAAGGAAATACACAACTTAACACTGCATTTTAGTTTTGACCAGAAGCATGCCACTGAAGTGAATCTCCCAATGCTCCCACTTTCCCCACCTTGGCTCACTTTGCAGAGCCATGAGTCTCAGAGCACACACGCTACATTTCTTTCAGATGAAACTAAAATGGAAGATGCACTTCATGTGCTCCAACCACTAATGTGTTCGCATTCCACAAAACCAGCTAGACCTCTTCGGACATCAAACCCCTTTGAAAATGCAAGGTGTGGATGCCGGGGCCTCAGCGCTCTTTCACTCTGCAAATCTGCTTCTATTGGTACTCCCTATTTGCTAAGGTAGACATAGGCAGTATGGGCACGGAAAGAGAAATTACTGTTAAATACGTATCTCAGTATTATCAGTCAGAAAATAGCCAGACAGAAAAAAAAAAAAAAAAAAAAAACCCAACACACACAAAAAACCCACAAACACCACCACACACAACACACTCAGGATTTTAGTATGCCTTTCACATCTTTTTCAAAAATACTGAATAAATACATTTTATGAAGATTATCCAGATAATGTAGAAAATGCTCACACTGATTATGAAACAGCTGCACTGTTAAGTTGTACTTTATTTCATAAGCAGTAATCTGAGCTATGGAGATTTCTTTGTCTTTTCACTAAGTAAAAGATACAGGTTGAGATGTGAGCATTTTAACAGACATTTCTTGTATGGAAAGAACAAAATCTGCCACACTGGAAATGTACAACCACTGAATAAAGGGTAATCTAGATACCAATCTAGGTACTTTACTTTCACGGAAAATTCTACAGCAAAGGGTTAAGTCACAGATGAGATTTCTATGAATCATAAATAACAGAGTAAGCAGCATTATATTGCATTGGCATGTACTGAAATAGTAACAAGGAAGGAGAATTCCAGTTTGAGATATAATTTCTGATTTTGGAGTCTTATTTGTTGTTTTCATGCAAATATAAGTATAAATGAGATGGGAATAAATTAGCTTAAAAGTTAAGAAATGTCAGTAATTCTACTTAAGCAGGTGCCTGCTAACATCTAAGTAAGTTTCCATTACTGCTTGCCTTTGGCTGATGACACTATGGCATTTCCCGACACAAAACATGCACCTAAAGCAAAGAAACAGATACTGCAAGTGCTGCACTTGCATAAATTGTGCATACCAAACTTTGAAAAAAAAAAAATATGACTACCTCCACTCACAGCTGTCTGTTTCTGGAAATTGATTTCTTGATAGAGCTATGGAAGATTTATAAAAATGATTGTTGTATCATGGTTTGTTTCCCCATTTATCATACACGCTTGAAAGCAAAGGCAAACCCATAAATGAGCAGGAGTTAAGAGCAATCATCCTTTTAGAAAACAGGACACCCAAGTACCACATTTCTAATAGTCAATATTAACTAAGTCAATATTAACTAAGAAATCCTATTAATGAGTCCCTCTATCAGTAGAGCTATAAAATGTTTTCTACTGCATAGTGGGAGAGGGGTATATAATTTTCTGAAAGTTCACGTGATTTGTAGCGTAAGTTATAAAAGCTACTTGAATATTCAAGAATATAAATTAAAATTATAATAGTATGAGTTTCTCTGTACAGATACATTGATCAATTAATCTGAAAATTTAACTATTTTTTTTAAAGTTAACAAGTATTATTCCAACAGTTCTCTTTATTCTGCTCAGATTAAAAACTCAACTTTTGAAGGAAACTCTCAAAGGTAGAAAAACCTAGAAAAAAGTTTTCATTTTGTTTCGTAAGAGCCCACAGGGCTACTGCCACACAAAAGCCACAACTGACATAAATATTTAGATGATAGCGAAAATAGTTTTTGACTGCACCTTTAAAACAAGGAAAACATGCTTTTCTACAGTAATTACACTAGTTGGGCATAAGTATTTGTATTATCAGAGTATAAGTATGCAAATCATGCTCATTAAGCTAACACTGAATTTTGATGCTCAGTTTAAAACAAATTATGGGAGATTTGTCTTTACATAATGTTTAGCTATTTTAGGAAGTAAACATCACCAAACTGAAACCTTGCTCATTCTTCTAAGAGGCATTCGCCTAGAAATTTACATGTAACATATTACTCCTCTCACCTTATTTTAATTATGTCAATGCCCAAATTTGCTAAACTGGTTCATAATTACTACTGTTGTACTAATGATCTCATTTCTTGGAAACAAAATAGTCACTTTTCCCCTAATTTCTATAAAAGTATGTGAAAAAGACGTAAAAATATATTGCTTTGGCATAACTATTTCTGAGAGACACAAATATCTATCTTATCACGTTCGTCAGAGCAAGCTATACCATTTATATTTCATTGTAAAACAAAGAACTATTACATGCTGCACAAATACATTCGGTATTTTGTTAATACTTCACCCTTCCTACTATAATACTGCTATACCTGTACTTACTTCCTTATCAGCAAAATGTGAATTTTCAACAGTAATGTTCATACCTGGCTGACATATGATAGAAAGGCAATAAAGCCATAGCTAGGTTCAAGCCGAAGCTGAATTTATGACACCATTTTGGATCCATACACATCCCCTCCTGTCAGTACCTGCATCTCTCATTTTCAACCACTAGATGGTGTGAAAAAATTAAAAAATTGCCAAGGATTCCTGCCGACTGCCACAAAATCCAAGTATTAATGTAGTGGATTAAGAAATACTTTTTGAAGAAAAGTCTTGACCCACTTCAGGATGGTTAGGTTCACTTTTCCTTTGGTTATATTTTCACTTAACAGACAAAGAGCTCGTAAATGATCAGACCTTGAAACTGAATCAAGTGGAGGGTTAAGATGGATAATTCTCTGGCACTTTTCCCTCCAAGGACCCTAAATTCAGAGCTGACAGTAGTGGCCAATACTCATTTTTCTGAAAAAGCTGCAAAAATCTTTAAGAGAAACAGGGCTGAATTTTCTGGGCTGTATTTTGGAGCAGAAATCATTCCCAAAAAGAGAGGTTCTATATATCTGGAGCAGCAGCAAGCCTGTTTCAAGGACCTGTTATGGATTAATCACGGCATGACCACAAGACAGTTGATATACAGATGACAGCTTAAGCTACTGTTTTTCTATTCTGCTCCATTTTCTGAATTAAATTTCTCACTCTTTTGGGGAAGGAGTAGCAAATGATTTTTTCACCTACAAGCTGAAGATTAACATTTTATAGTTCCCATATTATAACAGAAGAGCACAACCCACAAGGAAGCCAAACTTGTACAGTGGAATCCATTTGCTCATGGGCTTTTTTGGGGGAAGGAGAGGGGGTGGAGGTGGCTATTTTAAATTAGTATCATTCTTCAGTGCTGTATAACTGCTTGAAAGTCTGCCCAATCCAAGAGTGTTACCTGGCCTTTAGTAATGAATTCAGTTATTAGTTTAAGTGACAATGAAATACCTCAAAAGACATACATGGTCACATTACCATTAGTAATATATCTTCTATATTTTTGTATAGGACTACCTTTCTATCCATAAATCTTAAATTTATTTCAACCAGAAGCTGTTACCTTTATTATCCAGAAACATTGCAGTTAAAGGTATCACAGAAGATTTAAAGTAATTGTGACAAAACTGAAGAGTTTGAAACGAAGACAAACAGATGCCTTTTGCTTTCATGCACCTACTTGTATATTTCAATGACCTACAATACCTCTGGAACCAATTATACTGAATGGCAATTACATCTGAGATATATATTCTACATATATTTTAAAAGGTTTTTTTTCAATGAGAACTTGAAAAGCTCAGCTTTTTTCTAATATATGGGGAAAAGAGAAATTTCCTTTGATGAATTGTTCAGAAGTAGACTCAATGGACCATGACATATATATTTTAGGAGAGGTTTAGGTTTTGGTTTTGTTGGGGGGGGGGGGGGGGGGGGAAAAAAAAATAAGGAAAAAATAAGAAAATTAACCAACATTAAAGTAGAATAAAATTTCATGCTTATACTGCTCATCATCACTTTAGATGACAGGAACTATATTTCTCATTTGCTTTGCTAACAGAAAAGCAGTAAATTAAAAATTGCCCAAATTTGTCAGAGCAAACAAATTTGGAAGCTGAGCTGTCAGAACAATTACAATATACATAGAAAGATGAAAGCATAGTTCAAAAAACCCAAGCCATCTTCTGTAGCAAGATGCTAAAAAAGTCAGAATTGGCACAGTCAGGAATATAAAACCAGGAAACAAATAACATAACATGCAAGAGAATTTAAAATTCTACAAGGTTAACTTTTACAAGCAGAAAGCACATTGTCTCCTGTTATATCAGTTAACAAATGGTAGCCAAGATTTAATAAGTAAATAAACATGCTTTTAGGTTAATTCCTGTTGCACGACTATGTTTTAAATGTGATTATAGTTCATTTGACAAAATAATTAATTGCAGTGAATATCTGATTGCAAACAAAGAATCTGAAAGGGAGTGCCAATTTCCCTGCGTAGAACTGTGGGAATGTGCCCTTCTGCCACGGCTCTCTTTTTACAACTGTGTAGCCCCAGCAGCATCCCATACCTTGCTGAGAATGTAGATAACGTCACCACGTTTAAATGTCAACTCATCAGGTACATCTCCTGTGCAGTCCCACAAACCTTGATAGAAATTGGCATAATCGGTATTTTTGCTATCTGCAAAGAAAACAGCACTTAATTACAAAAGGATAAAGATTGAGGGATAAAAGTTACTCTTTAAATATCCAGATAGTACAAAGCAATTTACTAGTGCACATTTCTTACTCCTCTTTTTAGAAACAGCTCCTTCATACCACAAAAGCAAGTGGAAAACAATTTAAATGTGCAAGTCCTTCACTGGCAAGTTGTATCACTTGAAGACATGTAGCTACAGGTTTTCAAAGCATTTTCCAGCGGCAACTCAAAGCAGCTAGTTTTCCCTGTACTAATATATTTCCAGCAAGCCATATTTGTATCTCAACTGGAAACTGATAAAATTGCTAGAATACAATTAATAATTATCTTTGAAAGGAAGCCAAAGTAAGTATTTTGTGATACGCTCCCCCTCCCTCTCCTGTTCTGAGAACCTTTGAGATAATCCTTGATTGTTCCTTCTGAAATATTGGAGAACTTGGAAACTGTTGCTGAAGCTGCATTTTAAAAATATTTGTGTCAGCTCCAGTTTAGGACATTAAGCTCTGGCTAAACATGCAACTACACTACAGTCATAAACTCATCCTTCTAACAGCATAAGCACAATGGATGTGCTGTGTTCAAGCTGCCATACAGACCATTAACTGATTGATTATTTAGCACTCTTTGCTCTGTAATACGGCAATAACACAGTAATAAATGCTTTGTCATACACTTACAATACAGAGTACATCTACTGAAACACAGCGCTTACACACAGTTAAATACACTGGGTGCTTCTGTTACACTGCAAACTATTTCCTGTTTTTAATTCCATGAGAATGGAGTGTGATGAGTTAATGCAGAAAGAATGTAAGCAATACCACTAAGATGACCAGTTACATTATGTATACACTAACCAGACAGAATGTATATGTACTAATAATTCACATCACTGGAAAGCTATCTTCTAATTCTGATAACATAAATATCACTGAACCGGCTGGATCAAGGCTGTCATCTTAGTTTTGTTATATGATCCTTGGAACAGCAGGCTTGCTGTTTATTCCAACATATACCAGTTACATTTGCATGTCGTTAGCACTCTACACCATTATTTATAGTTTACAATTTAATCATGATTGGTTCACATTATTATTGAAAAAATCCTGCTAAAATATCAAGTATCAAGTGATAAAAAGTCATGCTATTAAAAATATAGCAGTATTCAACTTATGATTTTCCCTATTTTGACAAATACTTAGATTTTAATACTCTGTACGAGCAAGAGCTTCTTTTCTATTTATCCATTTCAGTCTGTGTTCTGTGCTATCTTGTTTTGATGGCAATACTGTCATAAGGCTGAATATTCACAACCTTGAATTCAAGGCTGCTATGCGAGTTAGCCATCATTTAATTTGCCATAAACTGGTGATTAGTAGCCACCACTTGCTGTACAGCACTAGGGGGCATTCCAATCACCAGTGCACAAATTCTTCTGCCATCCCACCAAAAGCAGCAATATCTACACATACAAAACTCCCAACCATTCAGAAATAAGAGATTTGGTTATTTTAAAACGCAGAGACAGAATAATTTCAAGAGTAAGGCAGAATCAGTTTGAAATGTTACACCAATTTAGCATTAGACAATTATAAACAGTTACACAGGTTGGCACCAAATTAATTTGTGATAAATATTAAAGTCAGAATCTTTTCTCAGTCTTTTGATATCGCACTGATCACAGTTCCCAGCTCTATCTTGTAAGAGATAATGTAAGCCCATACGAGGAAAAAACTAAAAGAGTTATCTTGGAATATTCCACCTTTCAAATCTTTCAGCAGTTGTTTTATTGATTTGGTTTAAAATACATTAATCAGGACTTCTACTTCTTCAGATTGCACTGAAATGAATCGTGACTTTTCACACTGACCTTTATCACTCTGAGGTCTGCTCTTACCTTTATGTGCCTGAAGTAACTCCTGTAACCCTAATGGGAGTTACATGGGGAACATCAGCAACAGAAGAGATCCCACAGCAGGTAAGACACATCTCTCACTAGATGTTCATCATGAGCATTTAATTAAGCCTTAAAGTAGGAAAGCAACTCAACCAATAACACAACAACACTGGAAAAGATGCATGTTAAAATAAGCTTATTGCAACAGTGAAGATGTTGCCCAAAAACTAACGATGGTTCTATGCCCTCATTTGTGATTTCAACATAAGACAGTGTTGTTTAAATCAGAAAGCCATATTTCTCAGAAAAACATATACCAGTATACCAGGAGCACAGGAATTAAAAACAGGGAGAGAAAGTGCCAGTGTAAGTTTGTGAACAACTATGCTGGTCTTCCAAGTGTTAATTTCAAATCTGAAATCCCCTCTCATACCCACCAGCACAAGTTTCTTCAAATTCTGTAAGTGCAACTACACACACATAAAAGCCAATTGTAAATTTAACTTCAGAATCTATATATCTAAAGGGCAAAATGCTTAATAAAATAATTCATAGTGCTTCACAAACACAGAGGTAGAACAAAAAAAGCTGCAAAAACCTCTGCAAAACACAAGCCCATTCTTTCTTACTTCAGCCTCTCTTTCAGTTGGGGAAGACCCTGCCAAATTTCATTTGATTGCCTCTGAAGAACTGAATAAAACAAAACCAGGAGACCTGGGTAAAGGAATTTGGTATTTATACTGTAATGAAATTCTTGATACTTATACTGTAATGAAATTCTTCTTAAACACATGTAATACCTGAAAACAGTTGGTGGATTTAGCATCAAGAACTTAAGTGCCCATCAGGGTTCAAATTCAAAAGGTATTGATTTGCTGTCATTACTCTGTCACAACTACACTCTATTGTTATACACTGTGAAATGTTGTGTGCCTTAAAAATACTATGATGACATAATTGCTAAACTGAAGTCTGTTGTACTTTGAAGACATGGTCACTTAGGTCACAAATACGAGTAAGACATGATAAAAAAAATTAAATGTGTAGCAGAGGGTAGAAAACAGTTTCTTTTTACCTACGCACTGCTTTAATATTACCAAATCTCAAGAAATGGCTGAGCAGGATTTTGGATATGTTGTTTCTCAAGGAAATACTTCTTTCATTCCAGGACAGCTATCTGAATGAACAACTAGCCAACATTTTCCAAAACTCTTCCATAAAGAATTCCTCTCATGGTTTTCTTCTGCCATCTGTGCTTTTCCCATAACGGTAATAGTAACAACAGATATTTTGGTCCAATATACTGATGAAAACACTTCAGAGTTTATTTGACAGATCAAACAGCAATGACTGCCAGCCTTCCTGACGGTAGGCTCAGACTGCTTATTTCACTGAAAAATACTGGCACCTGACAATACATGCTTGAAGAAAGAAAGGTGAACCGTTCAGGTAAAAAAAAAAAAATCTGACAAGTATATCACTCAAGCATGCACTTCAAATAAGTTTAAAACTTAAGAATGTCCATGGATTACTCAATAGGAAAAAATTATTGGAATATTCTAATAGCCTCAATACACAGAAAAAAACCAAAACCTGGAAAAACAGATTAAGAGTACATATTTCAGAGGGATTTAAGTGTGCTCTCCCATTGCAGCCCAAGCCAATCTAACTGCAGGCTGTCCCATTCCTGCCCCTTTCCTTGTGACAATTTTGGCACTTGCCATTTCTGAGCACAAACCTGACAGAACACTAAACTGACCAAAACAAAAACAGGAATTACAGCCCAAGTATGGAAGTGCACTACTTAAAACGTTAGAATAAATGAGACTGTGTCTGATTTCCACCAATCTTCCATTTTAACATTGACAGCATCTGAGTTAGCAAATCCTGCTCGGTAGTGACTTAGAGCTAGTAGTGATAGTATCTGCTTACTCATTGCTTGTGGAATTGAAGGAACATGTGTGTATGTTTTCCTTTTATCACCGTGGTCCGCTGCCCAGTATATTACACAGCTCGCCATTCCGATTCATATTTCTTGATTCTTGATCAGATTCTTCAAAAGTTTATAGTGTCAGATTTGATGATTACTAGTCTGGGCTACTTAACAATATTTGAAAGAGGTGAACTGTATCCCTTTTTGGTGATGACGTGCTCAATATTTACCATACTGAAGGCTTAAAGATGGAGAGACAGGTGAAGTTCAAAATTAATGCTATCAGAATGTCTTAGACAAGTGATTTAGACTCTCAGTGTTGAGTTTCAATGCCCAGATGAGACATACCCTGTTAAAGAACACAGTTATTTGTTTGTTCTGATGATGTCCTAAACTGGAAAGAATGCCTGTTACTTACTTGCCCTTTTTCCCATGCTCCAGAAAAATTATGAAATAAGGGCAAAATAATTGTAGTGTATTTATTTCGACTCAACTTCTAATCTAGCCCAATCTGTTCAGTATAATCTTTTTCACTTCTCCTACTGCTTAGTTACTCTAAAATCAAGGTATTTACACTGAGACAGCATAGAACATGACGCTTACTGAAACAGTGATTGTGGAAATGATAACAGGTAGATAGTGGTAGCAAAAAAGACCCAGTAAGCCATATTGTTATAACTAAAACTCTTCAATGCTTTGGTATTTTTAAATAATTAGGTCACTAGCAATTAATGTAAAGCTATCCAGCAGCAGCAGTCAGCATCAAGACTGAAAGAACAAAAAGAATTCAAGTCTGCAAATTAATTGAAGTAGAGGTAAGTTAGGGCAAGAAAAGAGAAGGAAAAAAGAAAGGTTTTTTGCACTTATCAGGCTGAGTTTCCAAACAATTTGCAGAATATTTTCTGTGAAATTCAGGTTTAGTACAGCTAGGCAATAATTAAATTTAAGAATGTATGCGCTGTTTGTGTGGAAAAATCATGAAATATTCTTGAGTCTTGTTAGATATTTATGATGTGATGTCTATCAGAAATACTCATGTCAACTCAGCCCTAAAAGTCAAACATATTTCCAGTGTTAACTATTTAACTAAGTAAGATTAGATCAGATCAGAAAATTATTCCTTGAAATGAATCTGATACCTGGGGAGAACTGTTATGGTCTTTTCAAAGGCATTACACAAATACTAGTGAGACTGATAAGGCTGTTCTCAGAGCAGTTGAAACTTTTCAGAAATGAAAGTGCTAAGGTTTTGATTTCTTAAAAGTATGGCCATTTAGAACTTCGAGAAGATACATTAGTGAAAAAAAAAAACACACGCTGTTGGCAACTTTATAATTGGATTGACCCCATGTTCCATTATGACAACACACTCTTATAATTACAGTAATGTCTAAATGAGTACTAAATATTAAGGCTGTAATGAGTCATGTTGTTTTACACATGTTTTTAGCAGAGCACAATGCTAACAGCATCTGATGACTTGCCTCTTGTTTCCTTTCCAAGAAAAGCAACCCAAAACTCCTCACAGCAACCTGTTCCTGCTTTCCTGTATGGGTCAGGAAATCAGGCCTCTGTTTCCTCTCCACATGTTGCAACAGGAAGAGCACTGCAGAGCTACTTCCTAAAGGAACTCTTCTTGCCCACCCTTTCCTTGACAGCCCTGAAAGAATTATGTGTATTATGTACGATGGGGGAAGGAGAGCCAGATTGCATGTCAGTGCAGGTCACAGTTACAATGCAGCAGATCTCAAAAAGGTGTAAGGTCTGATAAGAAGCAAGTCTTCTCTACTTGCTGTGTCAAATCACCAATAGTTTATCTAAAGGTCTGTGCCCTTGAAGCACAAATATATCTTGTTTTTAAGCATAACTGGAAATACCTTTCTGTCAAGAAAACTTGTCTGGCCATGTGACTTTACATAGTGTATGCAGTTATTTTTTCCAGTCCCAGAGATAATTAGCACAAGGGCAGTTTGCCAAGCTAAAGCTGAGAGAATATCCTTCACAGCCTTTCTGGGCATTTGTGTCCTTTTCCAATTTTTATGCTGCTGTCACTGGACTCTGGCATTTCCTACCCAATTCATTTGCTTTCTGTGGTAATCATATGCAATGAAGATATGCATGGCCAACATTTAAACAGGCTGCAGATCAATTAGTGGTCTTAAGTTTATCTGATTTTTATCAAAGAAGACAGAGCTTTGGGTCGATTGTCAGAGCCTGTGTCAAGTTGACCTTTTCAGAGACGTCTACATTGCCAGTCCCTTGGGCAACTTGTTGTCCCCTGTTAGACTCTGAATGGCAGAAGTCTGTTCTGCTCAAGCACAAAGTATACACAGATGTCTATATTACATTCTTATAGGTTTGACAGCAACTGCATGTTGTATCTATAAACTGTCCTTTAGCAGTGACACTTCCTCAATGATGATAAGCTAATTTATGCAACTAAATCTCCTTTGTGCAGAAATGAAAGCTAATTGAGTCATTACAAAGTAATTCAGGAAGGAATACCTTGTATAAATTGGCTTACTTTATAAATCCTTCTCAAGTGGTTTTCATGCATCCTAAGTGGTGCTAAGCAGTTTTGCTGCCATCAAATACCCAGGTGAAAAAGACAGCTTTACAGAGCTATAAAAACATTATTTTAAAACAGCAAAGGGAAGAGACAAGAAAATAAAGGTAAAAAAAAGGCATACAGAAAATAAAGAAGAAAGATTTTAATTACCTGAAACAGTGGTAACTTTCTCCTGGCTCAGTTTTCTTGGCACTTCAGCCTTTGAAGGAACACGTTCTTCTGCAAAACACATAACTGCAAATGAAACTCTGAAGGGACACCTCAGCTGACAGGAATTACAGCCCACATCAGTCTGAAAGCCACACTCTACATTTCCAGATCATAAGCCCTGTTTACTATTTTGCATTTGTACAGAAGTTGGAATTTTGTTATTTCTGTGGTTTCCCCCACCCATCCAAACACTCCAAGAGCTTTCTTTCAAAATCTCAATTGTGAACATCTGTTTCCCTTTTCACTCTGCTCTGAATGCGGTAATATAGAGCTGCAGTTCTGGTGTTTTTCAGTCATTCTGAGACAATTAGAATGAGGGTCCTATTCTGCTACGTGTATTTCTTGCCAGGAAAAAGAAAAGAAAACAGTGGACTGAAAAAGTATCCCCAGGCCATGCAAGAATTCAGAAGCTCTTAAAGTGTGCAGAGAAGGCAGAGGACATCTTGCCTTCAGCACTGTCATACAGACACACTAGCTGGACACCTGAACGATGGGAACACAGCCGCTACAGACGCCAGGCATTCAGTGCTCCTGCCTACTGCACCTAACCATGGTTTTAAGCAAGCCAGGCTGTATCAAAGAACTTAGCACAAGTTTAGGAGACAAGAAAAGAGAAAGCCTGGCAGCAATCAGCTCTGAAGCATGTTTTCTGGCTAGCAGGCTTGGAACACCCTGAAATCACCACAGGCAATTTCGAAGATGTGCTCCATACTCCTTGTCCGGCACAGACAGGGAACTCTCTCATGCCCACACCCTCACTTCAGTAAATCCACACTCCACTCAGTACAGGGACATAAGATCTGCTCTTCACATTTCACGGTCAACAGTACTGTTGATGAAGCCAAAAAGGGAACAAACTATGGGGGTTTTTAGCTGTACTCTTTCTTTAGGTTCATAAGGAAGTAGAAACAGATTTGTCTTGGTCTTTACAGTATATCAAGACTCACAAAGCTGCTGCACTGAATGAGGAAATAGTATATTGATAAACCCACTTCTCAAACAAGAATTGGACTTTTAATACATTTAAACTATTTGGCTTTGCTACTCATCACATCTTATACAGATATTCATGCTTCTTTTTAAGGCACACATTTCAGCAACTAATTTTGATATTTTATTAATGACACAACAGATACAGAACTAACAGCTTTTAAAATGTTCCTTATTGTGCAATTTTTATGTAATTGCCTATCTACTTCAACAAAGACTGAATTTTATATCAACAGTTCAAAGGATTTTTAGCCTTGTAAAAATTTAATCTATCCACAAGATTGTTCCTGCAAACATTAAAGCAGACGTTTAAAGCGCAAGAGTAGACCTGTTGAAATGAGTATGCATAATCGCTACTAACCTATATACGCAGTCCTACAAATATTACAATTACATCATGAGATTCACTCTACAAAGAGCTTTGAAATTCTGCCCTACTAAGCCAGCAACAGTTTTGCTCGTCAACTCTTGACTAGCTAAAAATCTGGTTGAGATTAATATAAACGATTATTTAAGATGAGGGGGAAAAAAAAAACCACAATAGAACAGGGAAAAATCTGAAGCTGCAGTACAACACAAAACACTCTAAACTATTTACTGCATTCAAATGTATTCCCCCACTTGGCATAACACTTGTTGCACGTTTCCAAGTACACTCATTTGTTTATTTTAAGCATTCACAATTGCAGCATAAATGGCAAAAATCCATCCCTATGTGCTGTCTGCAGCACTAGGAGGCACTGTCATTCTGTGGCTTCCCTACCACTATTACACCACTCACAGCTACCATTATCCCACTATCCGTCACATTTTCTAGGCTTGCTCCCTTTTCCCAGAACAACCCAGTTTCATCCAACACACAGAGTATTATACATTGATTAAATAAATGTTGATACTACATGTTACTGAATGTTTGGACCTACATCAGCGGATTGTTGAATGTAGTGTGGATTTTAACTCTATCACTATCATGGTCATCAGACCACCTTAAACTGAGGACTGACTTTAGTAGAGAGTATTTCAACTGAAGTAAAACAGCAGAGGAGGTTCAAAGAGATTTTTTTTCTTAAGGTACGTTTGTATACATGTAGATTGCATTGTGGTTTCATAGAAAAGTTTAGAACACGTGCATTCCCCTTCCAGAAAAGTGTATTTTCTAGAAACAAAAGTTCACCAGATCCATATCTGAAGATGAGACAATGCCTGAACCAAGGCTCTTTGAATACTGAAAAGGTCCCAAATTCAAACAAAGGCCATCCATATTAGCATACTGGTTTGGATCACAACCATCCCCGCTTATCCCACTTTGCTTTACAATACAGAATTGTCACAGAGAGGACAAAAGATGAAAAATTAAAATAAAAAATACTGTAGAAGTCCTATATTACTAAGACACTGTATAAGAGGAATCATGCGGACCTTTAAAATAGTCTGGTACAATGTTTCCTCTGTATCTCTTCTTCACACCATCACTACCACTGTAGTCAGAAAATATTCTTCTCCACCTTCTCATATGTCAAAATGAGACAAATCAACACTAATCAAACCAGGGAACCCTTCCAGAGCTGTAGATCCAAAGAACCCTGGAGATACAGGTTACCTTCCACACTCTGCTGGTACTCACAGACTCTAACAGCAAACAACCCACAAAATTCTTGTGGTGGCAAGGCAACAAGGAACTAACTATATTTGTTAAGGGTTTTTTTCAGTTAGTCCATGAAAGCTGTTGAAAATAATTTACTTATTTAATTTGCAGTCTGAAGAAAAAACAGAAAGATAATTACTCAATCATAGATGATTCTACCATCCACACAATTTAAAAAGTGAACAATGAATTCTACACTACCTGAGTTTTTTATATGCATCCATTGATTTTTATTTCCAATTTCTTTTTCTTAAAGGGGGAGGTAAAAAACAAAACACCAACAACAGACTACTTGAGTATAAAATGGATAAGAGTTTGGCTTGAACAGTGCATTCCTTCAATGGAATGTGGTATCTCCATGATAAATATGCATAAACTTAGCAGTTTCCTTAGTTAACCATCTTTTTACATTAGACTCTGATTTAATGCCATTATTAATTGGTATTTTACTGTCTTCTAGTCTTTGACACATTGTCATTGCACAGTACTAGTTTATACCTTGGATAATCCCAGTTTGTGGGTTAATATATTCTATTCAACACTTTAATAACAGTAAACAAAAACAGCTCAGCTATGCAGCAAAATCTACCAAACCACACAGATGGTTATAAGGTTTTCATTGTGTGGTTTCCATAGCAATCATATTGCAAATCTGGGAGCTTCTTGCAAATAAGCAGCTTGTATTTACATGCCTCTCAGCTGCAGCATGGAACTCTACAACACGTGAAGTGGTTATTCCAATCACATATTGTTACAAAAATCATTGGAAGATGTTTTGATCAGTTCAGATAAAAACTAGCGCAGTAAACTAATTTTTCATTTCTTTCATAATGATACAAGCAATCACACGCTTGTAATGCACATTAATGTATCTTCATTTGAAATCTCACTGTGGTGTCAGGAGATTATAAGCATACAAACATGTCTTGTAAGACAAACCCCCACAAAAATACTTGTATTTATTTAATAATCAGTTAAAAAAAAAAAAAAATCAGTGTCTTCACTATTGTATTCAGCAGGGATGACAGATGTGCCAACAAAAAGGTGTGTACATGAAGAACTCCGCTGACACTGAACGTCATGGGTCTGTACTGCTTTGCACAAGATGATGATACATGGTAACACCAAGAATGTTACTCCTCCACACTGCTTTTTTGTCACCAAACAACAACTCTGCACAAATCTAACCAAGAACTTTCAAATGTGAATAAATTCAAGACCTCTTCTCTCCCAGATTTATTTTATGAACCCAACCCCATAACAAATGGGTTATTAGTCTAATAAGGAACATAAATAATCCAGCTACGTAATTTTATAAAAATATTAGCAAGAACTGGCTTTATTTACAAACAAGATTATTTGTTTAGAGAAACACTTAAGAATTCCAAAGAAGGAGCAATAAACACATAAAATTTAAGAACAAAATAACTTTTATAATTTGAACAAGCTGACACCTTCTGTCAGTGTTAGTAGTGCGGGCTAGAGACCATCTAGGGTCAAAGGACTAAGAATTAACACCGGTTTAGCCAGGGTCAGCAAGCTGCCTTACTCGAGGACAGTGCTCCCCAGCCTTGGGGAGGGGGTCCTGCACTATTCTCCCTATGTACACACACCTGTACATACCTATACACTTCACCCAAACTCTTACGGGGTTTTCGCCTAAGCAGCTCCATATCCCAGAAATCTTCCATGTGTCGCTTGATCCTAGGCTTATTTGCTTTGGTGAGTGTATTTATAATGGCAGGGATTTTCCTTTGGTGTCTCCTTTTAGACTCCAAATCCACCTGTTCTGTAGGGAGAGATCTCCAAATCCAAGTAGCAAAACTCTAGCTTTGATAATCCTCCAATATTACCACAGATTTGTCCCTTTCCTCCAGTTCCTCCTGGATGTCACAGATTACTGGAAGATTTACACACAACTTCTTGACATTTCACTCTGCATTCCCAGTAGCACCCTGGTGCACCCTGTAAACAAATTAAACAGCTTGGAAAAGGCTGCCGAAGGTGCTATTCTCTAGCCATGGTGCAAGATCTGAGGGGTAGCAGAGAGGGGGAGACAGACTATTGTTTTATTAAAGCTCCATCTGACTGTACCAGGGTACACGGTTTGGGGATGAAAATGCCTCCAGGACAGCAACAAAAGTGGGAAACAAGCTGGTTGCTGCTTAAAGAAGAGATTATAAACGTAAGAATTTCTTACTATGACAGAAGATAGGACAATTCTTATTTTATTCCTACTTCTATGGGTCAGGTAGTTACCACCCAATGGCTCAAACAGAGAAATTACATTCCTGTGTGACAAGTTTGAGCGAAGAAAAAAAAAAAAAAACACACACTATTTCCACAACACAAGCAGAGGAGGTGGAAACAGAAA